TTTTTTTTTTTTTTTTGCGACCGGAGTAACACAACTTTACGATAGATGGGACTTGTGCTCCGTGAAGCTTTGCACTGTTTCGGCACGGAAATGCCCATGATTTACTCCGCATCAGGCGAGTGACGGTTCATTTGTGAAGTCCCGAGTTGCCATTTTGAGGATATTTATTTAGTGACTTCATCCTCGATGTTCAACAGTCCGACGTGGATCGAATTCAATTTTTCGTAGTTCTATCACTTTTTTTTTAGGGGAATCCTTTTTTATGCCAAGAAAAATAATTACGGACATCCTGGAATAGATTTTAATTCTCCCTGGGAACAAATGGTCGGCGAAGCTTCAGAGGTTCACCTTTTACTAGAATATCGAATATGATCCTTGTTCTCCTTGGGTGAGTTGATTCGTTTTTCGTTGTTCGATAACCATTTTGATTTTTATCGTTGTGGGAATGATCCTTTTTTATTTATTAATCACTTAAGCGGTATCCTGTGCTCCGCGTTACATTTCGATGTGATATTGATATAATAACGAAAATTAAGTGAGCGGAAGCGGTTATATTTTTTTCGGGTCTGCTTTTTTGTTGCCCTTCCAGCATCGATTGATTGATTTCATGGTGGGGCCCAAAATTTTTTTGTTTCAAGATTTTGCGAGGGAAAAAAAAAAGAAAAAGGTGCTCGGATCGTCGGGGCTGCATTTAAAAGCTGCGTTCTTCCCTATCGTGCGTTTTTTGTTTGTTTTTGCAAGTGACGTTGTCGAGTGTGTGACGAACGGTGAGCTTCGAAAAAAACTGAGTGGCCTGGTTTGTGATTCGACGCGATTCGCTTTCTTCTTCAGCACTGCGATTTTTCTCCTTCGCCTGTTTTCCTTCCAAGTGCTGTTCTATATATATTTTTGTACGCATGGCCTGGGAGAAGATGGCGACCACGGATTTGTCTCCCCTCTTTATCTTCTTCTCCTTAGATTGCAGAGGCGATGAGTTCTTCCGTTGGTTGAAATTGTCCTCCCTTTTCGTCACTCATATTGCTCTTCTTCTTTTTTATGAGGTTATGATGGGAACGACGGTCACTGATGAAACGAGAATAGAGTGAGAGGAAAGTTGGGACAGGCTCGTTCTTGTGACTGCCGGTGTATTTTTCATTTCCGAAAATCTCCGGACAACGCATTCATTTTTCCCCGGGTGAAGTGTGAAGATTCGAAACATTATTTGCCGAAGTCTTCGTGTGTGTGTTTCTTTTAAAATCATTATTGATCGCTCTGGAATGAATGCATTGTCTGCAGATAAAGTTTCCCTGCTGCGAATTCCGCCTTTTTTACGCCGGGGATTGGTTTGTTCGCTCTTTTTGTATTCGTCAGGAGGTCGTTTTTCGAACGCTGAAATGGAAACCCCGAAAAGTTGCGATACGTTCGTTGTAATGGGTGATAAAACGGGAGACGGAAGTACCATTTTTGGGAAAAATTCAGACCGACCAAATGGAGAGGTTCAAGAACTCGTCTTTGTCGCTGCTTGTGATCACGCTCCTGGCTCTAAGTTGCAGGTTTGTTTTTTCCGGACCTCGGAAGTTGTAAATGCTCCTCGATCTCGTAATTTTTGCTCAAGATGATAATGAAGCTTTGGTTGTGATGAATGCGAGCGGGTCGATTCATGAAATTTTAGGTCATGAGTTTTGATCTTGGCAATTCAAGTTTTAACTGAAAGATGTGTCACCCTAGTACCGGATTCATGTCTGCTAATCGGAGAAAATCGAGAAAAAATTTGGCGGAGACTTCAGTTTAAACCCTTTGTAGTTATCCATTCCCAGGTTCTAAGGAAACGTTGAACCTTACATCATCTGTAAAAGCGTTTCCCGAAGAACGTGACGCATTCATAAAATGAGTTCTTCGTCGATTAAATTACATTTTCAATGATGGTCCATGCTGAAGATGAAGTCAAGGATGAACGGGTGAAATTCAAGTCGTCGGTCCTGCGTGAATTGAAGACCAGAGCTACTCTGGATTGGATTTTAGCCTGCAGTTCTTTTCTCCGCATTCCTAGTTTCAGTAATTTCGCAGTCTGAAGAAAAGACCATAGGTTTTTCATGATTGAAGAAAATACAGTGCTGTATCTGTATTGCAAGTTCAGTCTTCGAGAAAATATGGTCCATGAACCTCAAAATTGTTACAGCAAGGCTTAGTTCCTTCCTTCGTTTTTCAAAAGTTGATGGCTTTAGCGACTATGTGTGGGATTGGATTATTGAAAAAGAAATCGTATTTATTTCGCCTGCTCATTTTCGGCGTTGATGTCGTAGTGTACGTACATAGAGATCGATCAAGTCGAGCACACGCATGGCGTCATGTTGTCGAAACCAGCGTGGATGTGGGGAGCCGAGATGGGTGCCAACGAACACGGAGTTTGCATTGGAAACGAGGCGGTGTGGACGAAGCTCAATAGTGCCGACGACAAAGTCGAACGACTGCTGGGTATGGATCTCTTGAGGTTCGTATACTATTTGCTTTTTGTCAAGCATTCTGAAATGTTTATTTTTTCCTGTGTCTCGTTGTCTACAAATAGGAATCGTTATCGCGTCGCATTCTTTGTTAGCGTTGAAAGCGATTGAAATTAGAATTCTTCCTCTCGTGAACATCCGACTGCGAGGTGATGATTAGTGTACCGATGGACAATTTTTGCTCTGTGTATAAACAATATCTGATCTAATGATCGAGTTCCTATTAATTGATGAGCATCAGGCCTTGTCCTAATGACTGTCACACAGCTCCAATTGAATAAAAATAATCCGGCACAGTACTGAACTGTACTTTCATTATCTAACCTGATCAAAGGGAATCATTGCGAAAAAGACAATTGAACTCTTTCAGTTCGTATTGTGTATGGTAATGCAAATCTTTTTCAGCAACGCCAAACGTTTTGTGCGTGTGTCACCTTCTTTTGAAAAAATTTTTGAAGTCTGAGTTGGAATTGGTTTATGATGAAGTATACTAGCGTGCATAGTTCCGGAGGCGTTTTGAGGTTGCGAATTCAGTTTGGGTCAGATTTGGTGTTCGAGCGACACCTACCTGGCTGCACAGGAAGCAGCCAAGCGTTGAACTGACAAGTCATGAAATCCTAGGGCGACTGAAGGGGAAAAACAAGTTTTTTCAGATTGTATTATTGATTTAAAAAAATACAGGATATGTCTTGAATTTTTTTAGACTGGGTCTCGAGCGTGGCAAGACTGCCAAAGAAGCGATGGACGTGATCACAGAGCTGTTGGATAAATACGGGCAAGGAGGACCGTGTTCCGACGTAACCGGCTTGTTTTACTTCAACTCATTCATCATCGCGGATCACGGGGAAGCGTGGGTTCTCGAGACTGCCGGCAGGTCATTTTGGGCTGCTGAAAAAGTCACCGGTATTTTGAACTGCCTCATATCATTTACGCTAAAAAAAATTGATCGAATTTTTGCTGTAGAGGGATATCGAAACATTTCGAACGACTTGACGATCACGACGAAGATAGACGCTAGTTCTCCGGAGCTTGAGAAGCAGGCTCGTGAGGAAGGGCTTTGGTCCAGCGACGAGCCATTTAATTTCAGGAAGGCATTTGCCTGTGGCTCTGGTGATATCGAATGCGGAGACTCGAGATACGTTGCTGGCAAGACTTTGTTGAAAGAGCTCACGAGTACTGGTATGTGTTGACGGGATATCGAACGTGTTGTCGCTTCCGATTTCCTGGGGGTCTTCGAGTGTGCTGTGATTTCATGGATTCTGTCACATTCACAAATGTCGGTTGATTCACGCTCGATGAGACCCACGAAACCATGAATACATGTCATACGGAGAATTATTAACGTGAAGTTTTTGAAAATATTTGAAAAGATGGTAGATAAATAAAATAAAATGAGAAAAGATTGACATCATCCCACTAGTCGCGCGTCTTGGGATTGAAGGCTAATTTTTGGCATTTTGGGGCAATTCACGGTCTGATTCATTGACACCAGGTTTTTGTAATTACTTTACTGTATATACAGTACTGCTATTCACCACTCCACGAAATGCGGTATCCACGTTTTGTTTACCTCCATTACGCGATCGAAATAAAATTCTCGTCTAGTATTTTCCTCTTAATTCGTAGTTTTTATTAAAATTCTGAAAGCTTGAGAGTATAATTTGTAAGTTTTTAAATAATTATCAAAGTATGCGTTTCATTTTCCGCTGCGGCTTTCGAGAGTTGAGAGCCATTCAAGTAGAATTTTCAACTGCAGATAATTGCTATATAAGTATAAACTCTATAAAGTATTGTATTTATTTTTTTTAGGTTTCGGGTCAGGATTAATCAGTTTGGGTTACAGGTGACACGAGGAATATATTCGAGAAAGTAAGGTTTGTCATTGCATTGAGAAGAACCCCTGCATTTGTGAAAAAGACAAAAATGGTATCAGTTCAGAAAAAGGTCTTATCATTTTTTTTAGAGATTTGAATTATTCGTCTGTGGGGATTTAATAATAAATAAATGAGTGTTTCGCTGGGACCAGGAACGTTTGGACTAGGGGACATGATGTCTATCCTGCGGGACGTGGACGCCGGAATCTGCATGACATACTTTGATGGATTTGCGTCCACGTCGTCGCAGGTTAGGACCTGCTTTTCGTGTCTGTTTATCACTAACACTTTTCTTCTTCCCCGCGTGGTTCCCTTTTTGTTATCGGCACCTTTTGTGAAGGTGGGTTCGACGTGCGAGGAATGATGCAGATTCTGAGGCATTCCGAGTCGGAGATTTGTCGCTCGAGAGAGCACAAGCATCCGACCGCGAGTAGTCAGGTAAATGCGTTTCGCGATGAATTTGCGCTAATGATTTGGTCGGTGTCGGGGAGCACGATTCTGCATGAGTTTCCTCCTTTTTCAGTTATGTGTTATACAGGACTGTAGTTTAATTTGTGGTAGTGCGTTGCTTCTCATGTTGGCAAACGCTCTTTAACGAACGAGTTACGGGGTCTTCTGGAAAAATATTGCGCTAGTTGTCATTGGATGCACTTATTCGAATTTTTGCGCTACCCAGTCGTCTCGACGATGAATGAGAGATATTCCGCAACGCAATTGAGTAGTGGAGCATTCATTTCATTATTGTATCTGCCCGGGAAAATTTTCAAAAATGTTTTCAAACCTACGTGGCATTCATATTTTTCTCTAGCGTTTTTCCAATGTCTCTGAATAAGGTTCAATACATTGATGACATATGCTCGAAAAATTAGAATCAATCATTTGATTTGTGTCTCTTCCCTGAGATTAAAAAATAAACGAAATTGGCTAGGTGAGATGTCGAGTTTGAGTTTTTTCGAAGTATTTTTTATATCTCATTTCTATTGGCGGTCCCTCAGAGGCGGTGAAAAAATCAACAGTTCTGAAGAAAGATGGGGAGTGAAAACAAATACGATGGAAGTCCTTCAGTGATTTCATGTACTGTATCAACTTTTAAAATTTGAGAAATGGCCCTTGTAGAAGAACTTTCACTTATTATGACCAGTTTATGCTTCAGACGTGAGTAAGCATGCGTATGTACTGTAGACATTTGTTTTTATACTGTGCTGTATTCATTCGAAATTCGTTTAACCCGCCTTTCGTTTCTTCGATGAGATCAACGATTTTACGAGGAAGTGGACGTTTTTCCTTTCAGCAGTGCAAGCGACGAAGTGTGAAATGATGCGCTGTCGCGGTTTTCGGTTTGCACCATTCCTCGCACATTTTTTAGTCCGTTCGCACCCTTTTCAAGTTTCGCTTTCGTATTATCATGGCTGACGTCTTCATTTTCTTCTTGAAATTCTGGCTTTTTGTCATGACTTGAGAAAGCTTTTCTATGAATCTTTTTCGGTCGTTCGTCTCAGATATCAGTGTTGTCTAAGGATGCTAAGCCGAGTGTTCATTGGTTCACTGGGACCCCGGATCCATCGTTGTCGGTGTACAAGCCGTTTGCGTTTCTGGAAGGAGTCTCTGGATGTGACGACGTTGTAAGTCCGAAGTACAGCGATGCTGAAGATCCCGCGAAAGTGAGTTTAGCTCAAGACTACCGTATTGACGAAAACAAAATGCAGAAAAAATTTCGTTACAAAATGTTTGGGGACTTCTTTTTTTTTGCACTAAATAATTTATTATAACGAGATTTTCAAATTATTGACTGTAAAAAATTTTCACATCAGACCTGCCTATTATTGATGAGATCTTGCTTTTCTGGCATTCTCAGATTTTTAAATTATTATTTGAAAATCTGAGTGATCTTCTGAATTTGTTTTTAGCTTGAATCATGCATTTTCATTAGTTGCACTAATCTCATCATTCTTGGAGGTTGATGTGAAAATCTTTTCATTCTGAAACAATGATGTGTTGTCCCAATTTGTGAGCATGTTCATCATTGATCACAGCTTCCATCTATACTACATTAATAACCAGTCGTAGTCACATTTGGGATCAGAAGTGTCAGACTGTGCCTGCCTTTAGTTGAAAAATTTATACTTGGAGAATCTATTAATCATTCCTCAAAAAAGTTTGTTGTACTAAAATGGTGAACTTTGTTATAGTGAGATTGTTTTGATATACTGCATTCTATTGGGACGTCGGGAAAAGTTTGTTTTACTGAAAAAATTGTTGTAATGAGATTTTCCTGTATAAGACGCAGTCCTCTCCAATTTTGACTAGAAAAGGAGCCGAGGCTCATCGATTACGTCTTGAAGTCGCTGAAATTTTTTTAGTATATATAGTACGGTAATTTGAAAAATGTGCAACTACACTATTCAAGTTAACATTTTATGCACTCATTGAGCATCTTGAAGTGAAAGCATCTTATATTTGAGTGAATGTTGTGTCTTAAGAATCATGTGGGTAAGAATCACAAATTCGGTTTTATTTTCAGACGACGCCGAGATTTGCCAAGTCCGTGGATCGCCGCCACAACTTGTTCCGTGCTCAGGAGCAAGCGGTTTCCAAGGGGGTTTTGCGACCCGGCTCAGATTTACTCGAGAAGCTCAAAACTTTAGAAGCTGAATGCGTGGAAGAAGTAGGCAAACTCGTTGCGGAATTCACACCGGATAGATCAAACGACTTGCTTGGCATATTCAACGACTGCATTGAAGCAGAAATTAAGTTGTACGAATAGATCAGCGATGCCAGGTAACCCCTCCCCCTGAGCAATGATGTAAATTCCTCTCGAATATCAGTAAAGCTTACACGCTTAGGATCTTACTCTTGTTCCGAGAGATTTTTACAGTTCTATAGCAGCATCATTGTTGCTAAATTCAGCACATTAAGCTTCAAAGGATACCATTAAGTTTTTGAAATGAATTTCCTTGCGGATTTCTCTTCCAATTCTGTGTCCGAAATTCTTATACTTTTCGGTTGCGTGTTCCCTTGAATTTAGGACAACAGTTCAGTATGTATACTCCTCTCGGTATTTGAACAAGAATCCATTTTTTTTCATCTATGGATAATTCTCGCGGATTTACTGAAAAATCAATCTCATAGAGACCCAGTCCAGAACTAGGAAAGACAAAGAAAAAAATCTCGTATTTGCAGCGTGTGCAAATGATCTTGGGCGGATTTTTTTTGCTTAATAGCACGGCTTTTGATGATTGTGATGTACAGCACAGCGTTCATTCAGTATCGTGGATACGCGGAAAGTTCATGGTGTTGTTGATGTGTTGTGGGGAAAAAATCGGGGTTCGGGATTTCCAGCGTAAATCTTTCGAGTGGATCCCCTGATCACATGAGTGTCCCATCATTTTCTCTCCGTGACGCGTCTTTGCGGTGCGATTTCGGGATGAAGCGGCGATTTCCAAATTCTTGCTGGAATGAGTCGTATTTCGGCCTTCACTGTTTTCTGTTTCTGTGTCATGTAAAGGAAAGCTTTAAAACCTGGTTGAAGAGTTTTTTTATTTGACGCGTCACTCGGCATGCAACGTTCGGTAATCTTTCGGTCGTATTTTTCCCCCGGGAAAACATCATCGGTGCCTCAGGCGTTTATAAAATTGGGGAAAATGAAAAAGCGAGAACTGAACCAACTACGGTTCTGGCGCCCAAAGCCGCGAGCAATTCAATTCAACATTTAAATTGGAAGGGTTCTGCGCGGATTTAAATATTTCCGGAAGAGTTATTGACAATGTGAAATTTGTTACTTCAGAAATAATGGTCGGGGTTTATGCTAATTTATTCAAAATTTCTGGATGATTTTCTCAATGAAACTGGATGATTAATGCAAACTTTTTGAGTGATAGACGCGTCGCAGGATCACTACTGTCCTAGGTTGTAAAGTGTTCGTCCGTTCAGTTGGATATTTTCATTGCTGAAAATGATTGATTTCAGGTGTCCGGTAATTTTCTCTGAATTTTCCGACGCTTCATTCGCTTGAATTCTGGTTGAACTGGTGGACGAACGGAACCGTCATGGCGGCAAACGAAATTTTGTCGTTTCTGGGTAAGTTTTAGGGATGTTCAAAGAAAAAAATTTAAAGGTAACTAACCGAATTTCATCGAACTGCATCATTGTCTTTCACTGAATTACTTTTCTGCGTTTGACGCGTCGAAAACTGCGCAAGTAATGTTTCGCTCTTTCGGTATACGTGCTCATTCTTGGTCGAGTCGTTTTGGGAAGCGTTCAACTATCCGGACATGGGCGACATCTCGGGGGGTGTCTAAGAAATTCCAATGAGGATTCATGCAGTCACGTTCAGATCACAGCGCATGTCCGAGAGCCTTTGTCGTATGCGGATCCCACGAAGTGCCACTCAGAAGCTGTAACAATTTTGCACAAAAAAAAATAAAAATGTCCGTGAAATAATTTTTTTTAAGAGAACAGGTTGGTGAAACCTTCGTTGGGAACTGGTAAAGGCTCCTCCACTGGTCCAAGATCCCCCAGTATGGAAACGGCTTCATCTTGCCCGAGTTTCACTCCTCCCGCATTCGTCAACGTACATGTTCTGGTGGAAGATTGAAAAAACAAGTCTTGTGAGTATTTTTTTAAGCGTTTAAAACTGGATTATTGTGTACAAGTTGATTTTTCCGCGATCAATTTTTCCTTCCATGAGCTGCTTCCACTCCTCGTGCGTTTCTTCAATGATTCGAAAGGCGAAATCTTTGTCCATCGCGTCTCCGTTGAAGGCGAATTCGTTGGGTTGTCCTCCTGGAGTGAGGGAAAAAGAAATTGTAAAAATGACGCTTAAATTTCTTTGAAGTTCCGTTTTGAATTTTCAGTGAAAATGAAAATTTTGTAGTAACTGAAGAAAAAACAATATTCTCACCGGCAGGAATTTTGTAGCCACGTAACCACTCCAAAGTTGCGCAGAGATATCCAGGCTTGACCTTTTCCAAATCTTTAATGTCTTCAATTATCATTGGGAAAAAATGAAATAATTTTTCTTATTAAAATCATGGAAACGCGTCGCTGATCGCGTGATACAATGTCCATTGCATTAAGAACATAATTTTTTTATTATTTCGAATTATTTCCGAAGCTGCTTGTAAATGTAACCCCTTATGCGAAATTTGGAATTTTTCTTTTGAACCAAGTGGAAGTGATCTACAGAATTTCAGTTGTCTTGAATTTGTATCATAATTGTTTTTTTTTATTACTGTACCGTTGATTTGAGGAGCTAATTTATCCCGGATGTCAATGGAGATGAGTTTCCAGTCGCTTTCACCTGCGGAAAGATTATGGGGATGCCCATAATTATTTTTCGAAAATCGTCAAAGTCTTGGGTGCTCACCGTCGTCGATCATTCCCAGGATACCGATTATTTTTATCTGTATGATTTCTCCTCGTCGTGCTATCCTAGATCCTACTTCGATGACATCAATCGGATCATCGTCGCCCTTGGCTCCTGTGTTCGGGTCTGTAACGTTCGGGTTCTCCCATGTCT